GAGTCGGGAGACTGCCATGTCAGAAGCTCTGAAGGAGGCTGAAGATCGACATGCCCATCAGTTGGGAGAGGTCCTACCTTGTCACCAGGGCCAAGCGGAGGACGCTGGCTGCTGAATGGCAGGATCCCTTGATCGTGGAGGGGATCTCTGTCCACCCGCCAGAAAGAAGGAGAACCGGTGTTGCAGTACCGCCAGCACCTCCACCCTCGGAAGTGTCAGAAGTAGAACCCTTGATTCCTCTCACTGAGCCATTGCCAAGAGAGGAGACAGATCCATAGCCAGGGTGGTAGAAGAATTCGCCGAGCCCGAGAATGAAGATGCGTGGTCCAAAGTAGATTAGTTGCCTTGGGATGATGTACCCGTAGTTAGTAGTGTCTTTTGTCGCTATCCACCGGTATTGTAATCTTTCCGTTGTATTTCATCCGTAGTTGTTGAGGTAGTCCAATCGTAGGAAAGGTGAACGATGTGTCGAGAATGGGAGAGTAAGTGCATGTATGTTGTACCAGCATAAGGACGTTCGGAATATGCATTTTATTTATTTCACTGTGTTATTGCGTCCATCTACCTTAAGTCTCGTTAGACGTGCTTAGGGTTTTTGAGGGCGATGTTAAGTGGGTTGCAAGAGAAATTACCATTCGGATGGGAGCAGACCAGCCGTGATTGGATAACATAGGACACTGTATCGACTAATTGTGGATGTCTCAGCAGAACACTTGAATCTCTTTAAATCAAATCCGTTGTTGGAATTGAAGTTCTTGTCCCATATTACGAAAGGAACCCTTGTTGTTTGAATCTTCCCTTGCAATACTCCTCTGATTCTGTGGTCTATGACCCCAACGTCTTCATTGCGTGTAAGTTGATAGTAGTTACCTGATTAATAGCTTATGGTGCCACGATGAAACCGAGGGCCCATGTGAAATAGCTGCCACATAGTGATGCTGCTCAGCACACGCTGGTATCGAGGTTGTTGACCAAGTACCTTTACCAAGTTACACCACCATACCATTTTTGATACAAATATTCGGGTGTTTGAACGAGAAATCTACAACGGGTTGTTGAAATAGTGTTCTCTCAAAGTAAACAAGAGGAGGTGGTTTCAGAGGAAGCATGTATGTTGCGATCTCACTTCATACAAAGGTTGGCGCATATTGTGGATAAGGAAGGGAAGGAAAGAAGAACACCTAGAAAAAGTTAGCCTTGGGTAGTAGAGAGTGCTTAGAAAAGCCTGAGTGGATGTCATGTCCCAAGCACTGTGCCCAGCTCGACCACGCTACGCATGTCGGGTCGCTGTCACCGCGTGCCCAGCGGACGCCGTCGGTGTCAAGCCCATTAGCACCCTGTCCTCGCATGGCCGCGATATCGTGCCGTACTCGCCGTCCTCGTGCACTGTGCCCTTCTCCTTTTTTCGGCCTTCGGTCCGCTCTTGATCCTCGCCCTCATCCCCGTACCGGACCCCCTCCCTTCTTTCTTCTTTTGGGGACACGGCCGCCCGTACGCCTCCCTCGTCGAACGAACCCTCTCTCCTCTCCTATATTCCCCCCCTCCGCTCGCTTGCGTAGGGAGCGCGCCATGGCCGACTTTATCCCCACATCGTGAACCGGTAGTGTATCCCATCCATGCCGTCTCCACTTCCGGTGCGCTGCGCCCCATCTCCGTTCGTCACTATAAGTTGCCTTTGGTCCTTGCTCTTCTTCTTCATCCCCATTCCTCTCGAATCCGAAGCAGAGCTACGAGATCCAGTCATCATTGTGGAACTAGGTTCGTCTAACAGAGGTGATGGTGTAATCTAAGAAGAAGGGATCTGATTTTCGAAGAAGTTCAAGTCTACTGTTGGTTAGTTGGGTCTTAGGGTTCACGATGTTTGACTTCTCAGTCTCCTGTTTTTAGATCTGTTGATCATACACCATGTTTTGGATAATCATTATCTTGTTGTTTCTCCATTGCCCTCATCTATCCCGACTTCTAGAGTAAGCCTTGGTTGTACTAGGTTACTCTTAACCATACAACTTTAAATCCCGGTATAATTTAGTGTTCGACGTCGTGTAATCTTTCGTGTAATTCTAGATTTACGAAATGTGTTGTAGTTTCGCCTAAGAAGAGTGGATGCTAATTCATTCTTTTATAAACCCTCACGTTAGGAGACATACTTGTGTTGTAGTTTTTGCTCTTTCCACCTATAATGTAATTCTAGCTAATATTGTGCTTTGAATCTAAGTGTGTTAGTTGCTTGAGTCCAACTCTATCAAATACTTTTTTCCACTGACATGTCATTGATTTGCTGGCCTAGAATAGGCACCATATACTGACAACCAACCTCTATGTTCGTTTACAACATTGTAATGAAAAAAACCATGTTACTTTTTCTTCTTATATTTTTCTCATTTAATGTACCAAATAGACCAACCTTTTATAGCAACACGACGAGAAAATATATTATACATATGAACCATATTTCTTAAGATTTTTTCTATACCAAGCACATCACCCGCAGCGAACCATGGGCAGCAGTGGCTAGTTTTGAGTAAGACATGCCACGGTTTTTTTTTTTTTTTTTTTTTTTTTTTTTTGCCTACATATAGTCCTACTCAATTCGGGGCAAACGTCTTGTGATTCCCCGCCCGCCCAAGGCCCAAAACTGCCCAAGCCTTGTCACAGCCGCCGCGAGACATGCTCCGGCGCGCCGCCGCTACGGCTACGCTCAATGGCCACGCGGCAGCGTGGTTCCGTCGCCTCACCCGTGGGCTGGTGACGCTTCCGCCCGCGCATCCCGGGCGCCACTACCATCCGCAGTCCCAACTCCACCCCCCACGCGCCGTGGTGTCGGCGCCGCCGCCTCTCCCGACGCGCCTGTGTGGCGCGCGGGGCTACAGCTACAGGCGCATGGCGCGGCGCATCCCGATCGCGAGGCCCGACGGGTACTCCAGCTCCGACGGCGAGGCAGAGGAGCCGGACGCGCGCGAGGCCTGGGAGATCACGGAGCCGGTCGGCGGCGCGGGCGCGGAGGGCGACGACGACTCGGAGGGCAGCGAGGTCGAGGGGTTCATGCTGGACTTGAGCTCCTTCCCCGGCTCCGGCGACGGCGACGGCGAGGAGGAAGGCACAGAAGAGGGAGGGAAATAGCGTGGCGGGACTGCGCTGTGGGGAGCTGGCGAATCGAGCTTCGTCTGGGGGGAAGAAGGGGCGTTCGCCAGGTGCTCGTGGAAATGCCCGTAAAGCGTCGCGTCTATTTTAGCCAGGTGCTAGGTTCATCTGACACCTGCTTATGATGGAAGATGTATTCCAGTTGAATTCACTGCGTTTGTTTGCCGGAATTCTGCTGTCCGCAGAGTAGTCTGAACTAAGCTTCAATGTTGCTCTGTTCCTTCTCCGCTGTTAACATTCAATGAGTATCTAATTTTATGCCCCATTGTGCTCTGGTCCTTATCCCCTCCCCAAGCTTGTTAACTGAATGAATGTCATTCTATGCTGACCCAGCTTTCTCAAGATTCATGGCGTGCCTGGGTGGAAAACAAAAGCTCCAAGCCTGGATGGAAAGAAAAACTCCTTGTGAGCTTGATTGCTCGTTGCACTTATTTTTCCTTTAAAAAGTAGAATAAAATTGACTTTAAATGATACAAGGAACTGCAATAAATAAGAGTAGATCAATTTCAAAGAAAGCTCGGGGAAAAGAAAGTCGAACTCACCATCCACCCTTACTAATATCATGGCATTTACACGATTTAGAGCTCTAGAATGTGATGCTAACTAGAACATATCAGCGCATTCCAAATTATTCTGATTTCTAAGAGAATCTAAGTCTGAAATTTTGTCTCATCTTGGCATCTTATACTTTTCAAAAAGTTCAAAACAATTGCATACCACTCCCTTTGTTGAGTCTGAGGGCAGCTGAACTGCATGAACCACATAATGCAGATAATGGGTGTGTGAATGCAGGTGATGGTTCGAGTGACAGAAGCAAGATCCCAAAGGGGATTGAAGGTGGTAAGGCAGCGACCGGCACTGGGGCTACCGGCAAACTGTCGGGCGCTAACGAGAGGGCCCGGCAGGAGCCATGAGTCCTTTCAGGAGGAACTGCCGTGGCCAGGGACAGCCACGTACAGTTGAGTTAGGTGTCCGGCTTGTTCGGACATCTTGTTCCACCTTTTTGCTACCCTCTGAAATTAGGCAAAATAAAATTGTAATGGCTCGTGTGTGTGAGTGCCTTGGATATGAAGTTTGTTTGCTAGATCATGTAACAGGAAAGTTTGAGTTTCGTTGTAACCTCTGGGTAAAGCTGAATGATGTAAATCTGCTATCCTCCACACACCTTTTCCTTGATGTAACAGTTGTAAAGCCTAATGGAATAAAAGGGAGCAGCACGTTTGATTATGGAGTCCCTTGTTATTTCAGTTTTGTGGTCCCTTGTTATCTCAGTTTGGTGTCTTTGGGGTTTTGTTCTGTGTGCTTTCCTGGCCATCCTGATAGGGCCTTCAGAATAAATTTTGTTAAGAGAACTTTTTCACATTCAGTTGTTTCTGCTGGGGAAGCCGATCTGATGGACCTGATGGAAGAACATGTTAAGAAGGAATATGGCGCCGATGTTTTCAGCAGGGATGACTTTGTCTACAGTGTCAGTTTCAGCTCCTCAATACCTATTTGGGAAGTATCTGCTGCAGAGTTGCTAAATTGTGGTCAGTGCTGGTTACAGTTTGTTGTGCGTGCCCTGTACACCACAACGCCTTTTTACGTGGGGCGATCGGAACAGCCCTGCATAGATAAATGAAACTTATAGCATGGAACTGCCAGGGACTAGGGAATGGCCCGGCAGTTCGTGGCCTTCTGAATTTTGAGAAGGAGGACCCTGACATTCTTTTCTTATGTGAAACCAGAATGGACAAGAAGAGAATTGAAAAGTTTAAATGGAAACTTGGTTTGACAAATATGGTAGTTAAGAACTGTGAAGGAAAAAGTGGTGGTCTAGCAGTTTTCTGGAAGAAGGATATCAACTTTCATCTCGGGAAATGTCCAGATTATACATTGACGAAGATGTGGTGCAAAATGATGGCTTCACCTGGAGATTTACAGGTTTCTATGGTGAACCCCATACAAATAAAAAGACTTTGTCATGGAAAGCTCTACGTACTTTTCATGCAGCAAGGAAACATCCTTGGTTATGCTTGGGCGACTTCAATGAAATTCTCTTGAGCTGTGAAAAAGAAGGTGGTCAGCCCCGGCCACAGAGATGCATGGACAAATTCAGGGATGCCCTGGAGGACTGTTCTCTCACTGACCTTGGTTTTGCTGGTGACCCCTTATAATAGTCACACAAAAAACTTATATATCCGAGAGAGGCTGGATCGTGCTATTGCTGATGAGGATTGGCGGGCGAAATTTCCTAACTTCAAAGTGATAAATGGTGAACCAAGGCACTCAGATCATAGACCCGTGATTGTAGTGTTGGAAAATCCTCCCACAGAACCTAGAGGAGGCGCGAGTCCACGTCCTTTTCGTTTTGAGGCCGGATGGATACAAGAGGAACAGTGTGCTGCAATTATTGAGAACACCTGGAAACTAACAACTGAATGTAGAGCAGGAAGAGTAGGAGATGCTGTTCGGGAGGTTGCTAGTGAGCTATGGGATTGGAGCAAAAATATACTAGGAGATGTAGAGAAGAGAATCAAAAGACTTAAAAGGGATCTGGAAAATTGTCGTAAAGAAGCCCTTACTGAGAGGAATATAGCACGTGAGCAAATTTTGAGTTACAAATTAGAAAAATTAGAAGATCAAAGGGAGTTGTACTGGCGCCAAAGAGCGCATGCCCATTGGCTGCAAAAAGGGGATCGCAATACCAAATATTTCCAAGAATATGCTACAGAAAGGAAAAAAAGGAACAAATTGAATAAGTTGATCAAGGATGATGGCTCAGTTGTGGAGGACAGCAGTGGAATCAAAATGTTAATCACTAATTTCTATAAATCTCTTTTTGAATCTCATGCAGGTTCATGTTACAATGAGTTGCTGGACCATGTACAAACGAAAGTGACTCCTGATATGAATAATTTTCTGTTGAAAGAGTATACAGTGGAGGAAATTAAACAAACCTTAGATGATATTGGTGATCTAAAAGCCCCCCGGTGCTGATGGAATGCTATATTTTATAAACATTTTTGGCATATTGTGGGACATGATGTGGTAAGTGAGGTTATGAGATTTCTGAATTGAGGTGCTATGCCACAGGACTGGAATGACACAGTAGTTGCTCTAATTCCAAAGGTTGCAAACCCAGATAAAGTTAAGGATCTCAGGCCAATCAGCCTGTGTAATGTGATATACAAGATCGCCTCAAAGGTTCTATCAAATTGATTGAAAGTTATCTTGCCTGACATTATTGCTTTAAACCAAAGTGCATTTGTACCTGGAAGACTTATTACTGATAATGTTCTGTTGGCTTATGAGATGACACACTATATACAGACCAAAAGAAGGGGTATTGATGGGTATGCTGTGTTAGGATGATCTCACCAGTTGGCCCAACGGCCAATTGGGCCCTTGATCCGCGCCCTGATCGGGGGCACTCAGCCGGTTCTCCTCGCTGATGGGCCTCCGTCGCGCAGCGCCATAAAAGGACGGTGGGGGCTAGGGCACAAGACATGAGGTTCACTGCAGTCGCCAGTTCCCCACCGAGTCTAACCCTAGTCCGATCTAGAGGGAGCGCCGTGAGCGACGGGAAGCTCCACCGGCCTTCACCGACGTCACTGCTACCTCGTCGGCGGCGCTATGGACGTGACTGCGCTCAATGAGGTACTCAACAAGGTATTGTATAAGTCAAGTTCTACCCCTAATCTACGCTTAGAAGTGCTTTCAGATCTATCATTGGTATCGGAGCCGGGTGTTCTAGTGTATAGATCTGGGTCGGGGTAGAAAAGTGAAAAGAAAGTAGGAGGGGATTCGTTTTCCGAATCGGATCGAAACCCCTAACCCTAGAAGGGGAAAAGATGAAGAAGGGGAGGACCTACCCAATCTCTTGGGGTAGATCAAAACAAGAAACAGAAGGAGGGGACTCGATTTGCCAAGCGGATCAACCCCAACCCGAAACCCTAACCCTAACCCTAGAGTAAGGACGAAGGAGGGGCGGACCTACTCGGACTCCTCACCGCGCGTCACCACCGCCGTCGCACGAGCAGAATGGGCCGAGCCACCGCTCGACGCTCGGTCGCCGGCGTGCTGGCTCAAGACGCCGACACAGGACCGCTCGACGGCGGCGCGCTCACCCACTGGGGAACGCACGCTCCGACGAGGGGACTCGTGGCGGCGCCGCACTCTTCGTCTCCGACGTCGGTTGCACTGAGGAGAAAGGGGAAGATCTAGGGTTTAGGACGAGCCCACCGCAGCGCGTGTGGGGAATGGGGCACTGTCGCCTAGACCGCTCGACGGCGGCCCACTCAGCCTAGGGCGAGCGCGCGCGCCGGCGAGGGGACCGGTGGAGACGCCGCTACCGCTGCTCTTCTCACCCCGAACCGCGGTATAGAGAGAGAAGGGTGAAGTGAAAATGAAATTAGGGTTTCTGGGAGAGCGGCCGCGGCGCGGTTTTATTAAAGCAAAACACGTGGACAACCGTCCGATCTAATCCGACGGCCGGTGTTTGCTGGACTAGGATTCAGCCCAGGCGAGGATGGAAATTCCCGGCCCAGGCCCAGGTTGTGGCTATGGCGCAGGGGAGCGGGCACGCACGCTGTGTTAAGCAGGCCGCTGGGCTGCGCGCGCGGACGAGCAGACGAAATGGGCCGTGGACTGTTTCCCCAGGCCGGGCCGAATGCACAGTAATGATTGTGAATTTGTTTATTCTTTTTCAGAAGTAATTTTTTTGATGATTTTTGTCTAGTTTAAATCTCTATCAAAATTTCAACCAACGATGTAATTTTTTCAGAGAGTAGATGAGTACAGTAAAATGCTTCTGAAAAGTAGATAAATTGTTTTTTCAATTTTCCGTTGCAAAGTTTAATGTTGATTATCTTCTAATTAAATTCGAACCAACAAAAAAATTTAATTTGAAGAGCAGTTACATTTAGTAAATGATGATTATGTTTATCCTCTAATTAAATTAGAACCAACGGGAAAATTTAAATTAGAGGAAGAGTCTATTTTGTTTAAGTCAGATTATGGTATTATTATTTTCTGACCAACGTTGATGATGACAATATTATAATGAGTTCAAGTTTGAGGTTTAAATCTCTGATAAATTTTATACCAACGTGGTCAATTTTTTAGAGAGTAGATAAGGACCAAGAAATGCTCCTGAACTAATAGAATATATTTTATTAACATGTTTCTGCCGCAATGAAGTGTTCATTATATTCTAATTAAATTTGAACCAACAGGAGAATTTAATTTTGAAGAGAAGCATCTTGTAAGTCTTATTTTTTTAACCGACGAGATCATTCGGCTACATGCCAATGGGCTGCAATGCTGGACTATGTGAAAGAAAATGCTTGAGTCAAGCTAGTTCATGACTGTTTTTTTGTTAGTTTACCAATTTTCTGATTAAATTGGAACCAACGGGACGATTTAATTGGAAAATAAAGTATAAGTGAATATTTTATGATAAGAGTTACAATAAGTAACATGCATGTCTAATTTGACCAACGTTGGATTAAGCATGCATGTTTATATATAGATTTATCCCGTATGGGGAGAAGTTTTGGTATAGTACTTATGCTAGTCAATCCTGCATGGCAGGAGAAGTTTTGTGATGATTCACATGTTTTGTATCCCGCATAGTGAGAGAAGTTTGGATAGCTCTTATGTTGTCCTAGTATTGACCGTGACACAATAGAAATGCATCGTCATGGTCAATACTAACCAAAAGATAAGAAAAGATGCAAGTGTAACTTGCAAAAGTACCGCTAATCAAAGACCTCGTTGAGTTCTTGAAGTGAAATAAGGAAAGTATACTCCGAAATAGATCAAGAAATAACTTTGTTTACATGACATAATCATGTGAATGAAATAAGTTATAAGTATCTCCTCGTTCACAGGTTTTCTAAATAGTTCTTGAAATTATGGCAGTAAAGTTCATGCCATATTTCGAGGGGGAGAATATTAAGATCAATTAAGAAAAATATTCTTTATTAAGAGTGAGATAAAGATCAATTAAGAAAGATACTCTTCATTAAGAGTGAGATAAATATTAATTAAGATGAATGCGACCGTTGGAGTAATACAACGGTCACAACAATGATACTCCTAAGCAGAAAAATAGCTAAATTCCTGGATCTTTTAAAGTTCCGACAGGAAGATAGCGTAGTCAGCCTCAAAGATGTTGAGGTGATGCTTAAAGCGTCATATGAGGTTTTAACAGATTAAACCAAAATAAGATATATCATGCTGCTGTCAAACTAGAAAAGAACATATATGCCTAGAAGTGCTTTCAGATCTATCATGCTGCTATCAAACTAGATATGAACAAAGCATATGACCGAGTAGAATGGAATTTCGTGAGGATGATGATGGGCAGCCTCGGCTTTAGTGAGAATTGGATTGATCTTATCATGAAGTGTGTGACTACAGTAAGATACCGCATCAAAATTAATGGTGAGCTCAGTGAAGAAATTAGTCCACAACGGGGTCTTCGACAGGGAGATCCTTTGTCCCCCTATCTTTTTTTGATATGTGCTGAAGCTTTTTCATGTTTGCTGCTTGCTGCAGAAACTACAGGGGAACTATCTAGAATTAAAGTATGCCAAAATGCGTCGAGTATCAATCACTTATTGTTTGCAGATAACTCTTTGCTACTCCTGAAAGCTAATGAATGGAGTGCAAACCATCTACAAAATATCCTTTCTTTGTATGAAGATTGTTTGGGGCAAACTATCAACAAAGACAAGTCCTCAGTCATGTTCAGTAAAAACACAAAGAATGCCAAAAAGTCGCAGGTAATGTCAGTCTTGAATATCTCAACAGAAGCCTATAATGAGAAGTATTTGGGGCTGCCAATTTATATGGGAAAATCAAAGAAACAAACTTTTGCTTATCTAAAGGAAAGAGTGTGGAAAAGAATTCAGGGGTGGAAAGAAAAGCTTTTATCAAAGACCGGCAAAGATGTCCTTATCAAGGCAGTAGCACAAGCTATCCCGACTTATGCAATGTCATGCTTTGATCTTACAAAGGGTCTATGTGATGAAATTAGCAATATGATATGCCATTTTTGGTGGGCTCAACAAGAGAGTGAAAATAAGGTGCATTATAGGAAGGACAAAGGAGGTTTGGGCTGTAGAGACCTCCATTTATTCAACCTTGCTATGCTAGCATGGTAAGGCTG